AGTATTGCCTGAGAACATTTCTAAAGAAAGCGTCAGTATTATTTACTCCTTTCCATGTCATGTGTATTTATATTCTGGTCCTATGACTTACATGCGGCCTCCAATTTATTTGTTTTCTTCTTTCTATTGTTGACAGCCATAGCTGACAGGGTTGTCGGGGGAAAAAACAACCTTTCTTGTCAAAGGTCCTTCAGTGCTGGGGTTTTTTTTTGCCCTGTAGTGCTTCTATGTGACTCAAGCATGTTTTATTTCTCAGGATTAATCGCCTATGTCCTTGGTCCCTTGCACTGTATATTAATCTTTTAATTCAATTAACAGGCTCATAAAACTTAAATCTTAAGGAGATCATATCTCTAGTAATATCCAAATGGTAAACTCCCCCAGTGGCATTAGTAGCTGAAGGAAAGAACTTGCAGTAAGAACTAAAAAAAACAATGCTTCAATACACTCGCTTAACATTACGTCCCCAAATCCATGTGAAATCAAAAGGGCTGCTCATGTCAAAGCTAGACCTAACTATTTTCAGGATCTGGTGCTGAAGGATCTTGTTATAAGCAATAAATCAAAGTTGCTTTGCTTCAGCTGTACTAGGGGGCATTTATACTTGCATGAATGGAGGGCCAGATTTTCCTCCAGGTTACCCCTGTGAGACACCATGGGACTGCACCCCATCTCCCATTCCCGTTTTCCCACGGAAAGCTGACAGAGCTGCATTCATTTCCGAGGGCAGAGTCAGATACCAGTGGTGGAATTTTCTCTCTACCATCAAGAGCCTCGTACAACTTCTGCAAAAGCCCTGCTGGCTTTCAATGTGGCAGGATCAGACATCCCTCTTCAGAAAGCTTCCCATACAAAAGACTATCGTTTAAAAGGATTTCCATTCCTGCACGCGCCTTTTAAAGTTCCTCTGGGATTTAAATAATATACTCAGGGATACTTGAAGAGGCACATTTGCAGAGAGATATTTATAAAAGATTACACTGGGTCGGGATTCCGGCAAGTCTTAGCCAGGATATTTCAAAAGGCTTAAGTATTTCTTTTATAACAATATACCAACATTTTATTTAACCAGAGATGTGTATTTTTTTAAGTGACAGTAAAAAATAATGTTGCTGAGAATTATGACCCATATGTGTTTTACATTTCAGTTCTCTAAAGGTAAATTCACTCACTGGAGCAAACCGAAGTGTGGCACATTTATACAGAAAAAAGCTTTATGCTTCTGTGTCATACATTATTAATAGATCAGTTTTGAATTATAACTGTGAAGGGTAATAGAATAACTATAAAAATCCTCTGGTAAATATTCGTTAGGATCCGCTAAGTGACTAAGACAGGAGCATTATGGCAGGCACCCTATGGGTGCTGTGGATGCTGATTGCTGAGTAGCATTAGGTAATCCTGTGTCCTGGTGCTTCGATAGCCACTGCACTCCCCCAGCATGAAGCATACCTTTCCTATGCCTTATTGACTAAGCAGACAACATAAAATGCAATTGAACTTGCTTTAGCACTTGCTTGCCACCAATCGATACGCATTTGTTATACAAATAAAATAGATTCTATAAGACCTGCAGAACAGCAGTTAATTAGATCAGCTCTTGTAACTGTTATCTGGAAATCTAGACGTATGCATTGCTATGCTGAGGAAATTTCAACTCACGTTTATTTCAAGATCCTATATTTCAGAATTTTCCAGATGGACTAACACACCCTTTGCTGAATAGGTAGTGACGTGGAAGGTTATCCGAGGCAAGAATTTAAATTTAGAAAAGTACTGTCTAGAAAAAGACCCAAACGTGATACAGATGTATCTAGGAAGGGTACAGATTTAATTTTGGTTAAGGCATACCCTGTGAAATCCCCAGTTCACAATCCAGGGAAAACAACTGTTTACCAGAGCTGGCTGAAAAACTTAAAAGTTTATGCTCTAGAAAAGTTTCAGTACTATTTCTTCTTAGCGGGCAGCAGTAGACGTCCCTTCCATTGGGCAGGAACCTCCCACGGCTGAAAAGTGACTTAAGAATTC